CAATCTAGTGCTCCACGCCGCGGCGCCGGTACGCCTCACCGCCCCGCACAAATCCACTAGTGACTATCGATGGAATATTGTCGGCAGTCCTCCGAGGGGTATCCCACGAAGGTAGATTGATCGGCGGAGGTGCGTGTAATCAAGAACAAGAAGGCAACAGAGACACAAGAGTTAGACATGTTCGGGCCGTCAACACGACGTAATACCCTACTCTTGTGGTCTGTTGGTTTGTATTGGCTACCGTATGATATTACGTGTGTTTTGAGGGGGTCCCCTACCCGCCTTATATAGCCGGGGGGTAGGGTTACAAGTCGGTTAGATTTAGGAGATAACCAGTAAGTAATAACATATTACAAGAATCATGTGATCGAGAATATCCTAACAGATCTTGTAGCATCTTTAGGATATCGCCCTTGATGTCTTGTGGTACACGCCGAAGCAATACCGTGCACCGTAAGTCTTCGTCTTGTGGGATGGACCACCCCTACGACGTGGCCCATGTAGTCTACCGTGGGTATCCGTGTCGTACCGCCCACAGTGACCAAGGTGGTACTCACCACCGTGCCTACTCGAGCTCACTACTGCAAGATCCAAACGTAAGGGTAATGCTTTCGCACTTTCCTTATCCATGTTTCTTGGATTTTTATTTCCCTCTTCACTCATGTAAGCATAAGTAGGAAGCAAGCTTCCATCTGATTAGTGTGCAGCTGCAAGTGTGTCTGTCGCTCCTAAAACCACCTCATCTCGAACATTGATTACCGAAAGGAGCTGCCCCAGATTGTTGCCGGATTCTTCTATCGCACTTGGAAAGACAAACACCACTTCGCCAGCGTCACCGATGAACACCCATCCTTGTCCTTCTTGCCCTTCCCCATTCACAATGTTGTCGTCTCAAATTGCTATAGCGGCCTCATCCTCTGCTGGTGTTTTGGGTGTCGCTATGTTGTCTGTAATCCGGCGACTAACAAATGGTTGCTACTACCGGATAACCTCCGTTCTTGTGGCGAGGCTCACTTGGGGTTCAATCTGATAGTCTCCTCGCACTTCCATGTGTTTGAATATGGGAAGATGAGGGAGGGTAAGTCCGTAGGTGTGAGCATCTACTCATCTAAGAGTGCAGCTTGAATCTTTAAAGAATCTGAATGGGATGACGGTATTATAGTATCCACATATGCGAGAAGTGTGTTTCTTAATGGTTTTATGCACTGGCTCGAGTTCTCTCAGATCGTTGTTGTTGATATGGATGGAAAGACAAGAATGAAAATATAGAAGCCACGTGGTGATGCAATCTCCATCCATGAAGCCCAGGATCAGTTGTATTTATGTACTACTGATATTTACACTATGACTTAGCTTTCAATCTGGACCCTTGAAAACTATGGTAGTAATAGATTGACACTGAAGCATACGGTGACCACGCTGGAGATATTTGGATAGAACAATATTGAATTTGGTTACGAGGTTTGTGATGCGGAGTACAGAGTGATTGCAGTTCACCTTGAATGGAATTTGATTTTCCTTGTTGGTGAGGACAGAACACTGCTTGCATATGACATGAACCACAGAAAAGTTCATTTCCTCCATACACGGGTCATCCGCTGTTCTAGACCTACCTGGAGTCTATGTATCAACGGACCTCACCATCTTATGTTCCCTTGTTCATGGAGTCATTAGCAGAGCAGTAAAGGTGTATTTGCTGTCTTTTGTTTGTTCAGGTAGGTAGTTGTTTTGATTATATATATATGCCAATTTGGGCTTGGTAACTAAAGGAATGGTGTGTTCAACATCATTAATTCTGCTGCTTTGTGCAGGTTGAGTCTGAGTGCTTTTGAACAATTTTCCTACATTGGCTAAGGGAGGAAGAAGAGGGGTTCAATGGTGCATTGGCTACCAATCCGAAGTTCATATCCTCCCTGCCCGGGTCGTCCGATATCCTAGAAGTACCTGGAGTATTTATTTGAATGGACCTCACTATCTGCATTATGTTTTCTTGTTCATAGAGTCATTAACAGAGCAGTGAATGCGCATATGTTGTATTTTATTGTTATAGGACATGTCTTTGTTTAGGTAGGGAGTTGTTTTGAGTCTATATATATAGTCCAATTAGCAGTAAAGCTTTGCATTGTGTAGGTTTTGGGAGGAAGAAGAGGGGTTCCATGCTGCATTGGCTGCCAAGCTGATCAAGGAGTGTCCATCTGAAGGAGAGGAACACATCTACCTCATTTTAGTTACGTAAGTCTGTAAGAAGCAGAACCTTTATTATGCTATCTATGTACCGCTTGTGTTAATTCATCAGTTGACACAGTTGTTATGTTAGTGTCGAGCATTATTATTATAACAAGTACTCTTCGTTGTGGACATGATGAATGATGTGTAATGATTAAATCTGTATGGTGTGTGTTCAGTAAGTTATTAAGGCCTAGTTGAATTAGTAAATATATTGTGAAAACCAGATGCCATCACCGCCGCTATTCATCTGATGAGGCAGGGGTCAATAATGTATCACCGTCGAATCGTTTAGTAACCCGACACCGACTAAAGGATCATCATGGGCGGATCGTACTGCAACACGATAGTGACCATGCCCTATGACCAGATGATTCATACGCTGAAGCGACGGTGATGTTCGCCTCGACACATGCGGGTCGCGCTCCAATACGACGGAATAAGGATCTGATCACGGACGGATTATAAGCCATGCGGCGGTGTTAGTGCATACCCACACAGGCGGATCGTGCTTCAATGCAATGGAAGTAAGGACTTTAGCACGGACGGATCATAAGCCAATGCGGCGGTGTTAGTGTACACCGCAGACGGTCTCAGATAGCGATGGTGAGAGCTATGATTATCACTGCCGACAGCTTACTGCCAAGACTGAAATTAGACCGCGATGAGGATTACGACGTAGCTGTGAAAGGTCCGAGTTTAGTAGTGCATGTTTATGATATTCAAGAAACATTTATCAACTCTAGACCATGATTACGCTCTAAAATTACAACACATGTTATAAAGAGATTTTCAATCATTTCCTTTGGCTAACTGATTTTGCATCTACTTGTTCTCTAGCAGCACTTGCAGAGCAGCACAAAGATTTGTCCTTCCATCAAGAAAGACTGAAATAAATTTGTACTTCTATTCTAGCATCTTCCTATTGCCAATCAGCCGGACCTTGTTGGAGCCATCGAATTTTATATGGATTGTTCGATCTTGTCATGATTGATCGATTATGCAGCAACCTTTTAATGTGTTCAAATTCTTCACTATGATGAATCTTGTAATTGGGCTTCACGAAATCCAGTCTGGAGCTTATTATAGTTCCAGCCTCCAGCTCCAATAATAGTACTGTACAAGAGGCATAAGGATTTAGCTGCTGGTGTTTTTTAGACGTACAAGAGTTATAATGTTTTAGCTGTTGGTGTTTTTAGAGGACTTTATGCGGTGCAGCTTTTGAAGACTATACAGCCTTTGGAACTAATGTTTCTGCATTATGGGTTCTACCTTCAGGCTCTGGAGTCTGGACCAGCAGGAGCTCTTATCCAAGAGGCAGAGGATACTGATTTTGTGAGCTATTTAAGAGAAGCAAATAGCAGAGTGGGCTATTCGCTAGCATTCACATATGTCTGTTTCAATAAAAATATTTTGTCTAATTTGAAATAGACATTTTATTTGAGTTTTTTCGTGATGAAATATTTTTACTTGTTAGTTAGTCTTCTAAATCATGGGCTGGTACTTAATGGTTGAGTCGATTCTTTGATAGAATCACCGGAATAGATAATCCCTTACATATGATTGTAGTCATGAATGACTGGCCATCTTTCTGCAAGTGTTCCGTCTAATTTGAAATAGACATTATATTTGAGAATTATAAGTGATGAAATATTTTTTCTTGTTACACCAAACCTTCTAAATACTGGGCTGGTAATCCACAATGGTTGAGTCAAGCTCTTTGCTGTCCATATATACTCCTACATGACAATCAAGCAAAAAGATGGAGATTTTACTAATTTATTTGTCTGTTGAGTTTTGACTTATTATATTTTCTTACACTTATTGTGTTAATATTTTTTTTGCTCCTAAGGCGGGACTCATTATGTCGAACTTTTAGGGACTCCCGTAGCAACGCACGGACATCTGCTGGTTAGGGCCTTGTTTAGATTGAAACTTTTTTCAACCTGATGAATAGTACCACTTTCGTCTTATTTGACAAATATTGTCCAATCGTGGATCAACTAGGCTCAAAAGATTCATCTCGTAATTTCCAACTAAACTGTGTAATTAGTTTTTTTTTACCTACATTTAATACTCCATGCAAGCGGTTAAAAATTAATATGATGGAGATAGAGTGAAAAAACTTAGAACTTTGATGGGATCTAAACAAGGCCTAGATGGAAAAACTCAAAACTAGAATTATGACGTATAGAAAAGATAGATGTCTTGTCACGTTGTTTTGGATGGCCGAGAAAAACATAAAGTTATAGAAATAAAAGTAAAAATGAGTGTTATTTTAAAAAATAAGATTTAAATAAAAAAGATTAAAAATAAAAAAAAATCCCCACCCCACACCCAAGCCCAACCGTCCACCACCTCCCTCGTTCCCGTCTCCCTCCTCGGGTTCCTCTCCTCCGTGCGCCGCCGCCGCCGCCGCCTGGCTCGCACCGCCGACAGTACCTCAGTCCAGATCGATCCTCCCTCTTTCCCAGATCCGATCCTAGTTGGGCGGCAGCCGCTGCCGCATCTGTCACCTTCACACCCTGCGCGCGCTCTCTCTCTGTGACGACTGGGTGGGCTACCGACGCCGCCGCCGTACGCCAGGTGCCGAGACCTTCTCCGATCTCTTAGCCGGCGAAGAGTGCCCACCAGGTATACCGAGTTCTCAAACTCTCACCTCAAGCTATTTTACTATTCGATGCCTACTAACTTCTAACTTTTTGCAAAAATTACTGGTGTACACCCTTGTCCCTTTACCAGATCCGCCCCTGGGTTCAACCGGTCGAACCCCAATGGCCGACGTCGAGTCCAACCCTGGCGCGGGCGGGAAGCCACCGCCGTACAAGGACCCTGACAATGGGAGTCAGCGGTTCCTACTCGAGTTGGAGTTCGTGCAGTGCCTCGCCAACCCTACCTACATCCACTGTACTGTACTGTCCTCCATGCTCTTGTTTCATCTCACCTGGTTAGGATTAGCTAATCTGACGTTGCAAGCATCTATGGAACATTGGAACGTCTTGCTGCATCGTTGCTGACCAATTTTGATAGGGGTTGTACTGCTAGTAACTAATTTTGATAGGGGTTGTACTGCTAGTAACTAGCAGTCCATTGCAACGGACTGAAAATTTTCGTAGTGGTGTGTTTTTCTCAGTAAGTTCCTGCTTGAGAAGGGAGCTTTGATTGCTTAGGAATTTTTAGCACTAGCCCAAATCCCATTCCCTCTCTATTCAAATTGGTCCTATCTGCATGGGCCTCATGAGTGTTTTCTTATCAATAGGGTATGATTGCTAAGCTAAGGCTGTGATATTGTTAGTAGTATTGCTTGAATTTCATCATTTTGTGCGCCTCATCGCTCCTTGTTTTTTACTTGAACTTTCTTGTTCAATGCACATTATGTTTGGTACTGCACAGAAGATTTGAATGCTCTTTCTTTTCCCAAATAGATCTCGCGCAGAATAGATATTTCGAGGACGAGGCATTTATCGGGTACCTCAAGTACCTAAAATACTGGCAGCGACCAGAGTATATCAAATACATAATGTGAGTGATACCATATTCAGTAGTTTTGTCTGCAACTGAGGAAATGGCTTGCTCATTGTTTTTGCTGATGATGCAGGTATCCACACTGCCTTTTCTTTCTTGAGCTCCTCCAAAATGCCAATTTCCGAAATGCAATGGCACATCCAACAAACAAGGTGATCTTTTGGCCTAGATTCACACATTCACACTTGAGCACCAGTTTTTAGCTTTTGTTTAGCGTCTTGCAGTGTCATCCCTCCTTTCAAAACCTAGCTGAAGTTGTTCTGTTAGGCCATTTTTTTTAACTTGCTTGCTAGAACCTATAAAAAAACAGAAAGTCGCACAAACTTGATATTAGTGCTTGTGTAGAACTATGCAGCACGGATACGGATGCATGTATCGGTGTCGGAAGGATACAGATACACAGATACGACAATTTTCTAAAAAATCCGATTCATGGATACATTTTACTATTTTAAAATAAAAAGATAATAATGCATACTGATAACAAATTAACAATGAAACGTTGCAATCTACTTGACTACTTAAGTTCTTATTACAGCACAGCAGGTCTCAAGTCTCAACTGTCAAGTTCTCAAATATAGTAGTCTCAAATTTAAGGAATTAATCAAAGGCATTCAGGTTTGCAATTCAGGCTCACATCAAGTCCCTATTCCTCATTTGTCTCGTTTGTTTCATTCTCATTCACAACATCAAGCCGCAGATCACCCAAACCAAAAGACAGCTTGTAATTCAGGCTCATCAAGGGAGAGATCAGCCACTTCAAGAATGCCAATACCACCAAGTGAATCAAAAGAATCTCCTCCCATATCCTTGTCTCTCCTGTCTTGTACGCATCAGTTCTTCTTGACAGATGTACTCAGATTTGAGTGCACAAAGACCAAATCTTCAGCATGCTCTGGAGTTAAGGCATTTCTCATGACATTATGGATTAAGCTATAGGTGCTCCAATTTCTTTCACAGCAAGAAGATGAGGTTGGTTGGCTAAGCAATTTGGTGGCCAAACTCATCAATAAGGGAATAGATTGTCCATGATTTGTCCACCAAGTCATAGGGGAAACAGCCCATCTATCATAGATTGAGTCAAGATCATTAAATTCTTCTGAACAACAACTAGAGAACCTTCAATACTCTTCTTTTACTTTAGCCAACTCTTCCGGCATGCGAAACAACTTCTTGAGCAATTCATCCTCATTTTTTGTACCTCTTTATCCTTGTGGGGTGGTTCATGGATCACGGCCAACACCTTCTTCAAGCCACTTCTGCTGTAATATCTGCAATTGACAATTTGGCATTATAATTTTAATGAATGAAGAAAAATCTGAATGAGACAAGTCAGTTTTTATTAGTACCTTGGATTAAGTGAATGAGCCAAACAATGAAGTGGATTATTTCCTTTTGTCCACCTAGCAATCAATATGTCATGAATAACCAAGTATAAGTCTGACACCTCATCTTCTCCCTTCCCCTCATATCGATATAATCTCTTTCTTCACTTCCTCAATCATCGAATTCCACATCTCATACATTAAGTGAAGACATGGTGTGTCGTTGTCCGCTATATGGTAGAGATCCTAAGAATGCTGTCCACCTTGTCCCACCATACGTCACTGAGGAAGCAGCAGTAGGCAAAGAAACAGTTTTTGCCTTGGACTTTTGCACCAGTTCTTTACACCTTTCAATTTCCTTCCTGATGTCACTAAGCATTTCATATGAAACATTAGGACATTTACCTATTCCCCGTCCTCAGCCACGTATCCATGCAACACAGGTGTAAAATATGGTTGATATATTTATTTGTGTAGGAACTGGTGAAGGAAAGAGCTTTTGCATGGTTTATTAATGTTCATAATTTTACTTTTTGCCGTATTCTTTTAATTAATTAAGACTATTTGTATGAAATTAACACCTGCCAACTAATTGTTTGACAGGAGCTTGCTCATAGGCAGCAATATTTCTTCTGGAAAAACTACAGGAATAACAGACTGAAGCACATCCTACCACGCCCTCCTCCTGAACCAACCCCTGCACCTGCACCTTCACAAGCACCTGCTACATTGCCCTTACCAGCGTCAGTGCCGACACCTGTAGCTCCACCTGTTCCTGCACCAACATCGTCTATGCCACCTGTGGTAGCAGGTGGTGCATCTGCAATGTCTCCTATGCAGTTTGTGGGAACTCCGGGCACTAATATGCCGAAGAATGACATGAGAAATGCTATGGGCAACAGAAAAAGGAAGTATGCACCTCCCTTGCAATCATTTCAACAATTTGTTTTATGAAGTTATTTGTCCATACACTGTTTTCTTTCCTTGCTATTTTGTATGTGCTATGAAATCATTGGCTAACTATTATTTTCGAAGGATACAATCCAATTCAGTTTGATTTATGGCCACTCTTCCAATATAGATTATGAAGATCCTCTTCACCATTACAGGAAAGATGGTTGAGGCTCTCAACATGCTTTTTTAGGAAACCTATATCCTATATCCACTTCTCTGATCTTCGGCCCACTGTTTGAGTAAAATTTATCTGAAAATTTTGTCAACAATATTGAGTCAAGCAATATGTTTTTTACTTCAGCTTTGTTATTTGTCCCATTGTGCAAATAAAGACTAGTCAATTGAAATGTGGACTTCATGTAGTTGTGAATGAATCTGCATATTTCTTTTTGCTTTAGTCTTCAGAGCTTATAGTCAGGGCAGCAAGTGTGATATGAATATGTTCCATAAAACTACCATTTGACTGATGATATGTTTACATCTTCATCGCAGGATGGGCTAGTTGAACATCTTGCGCAACTCATGAACGGACAATGCCAGATTCAAGCGCAGTCGCTACCTCTGGAGCCTTATTATTTCCTTTTGCTTTAGGGCTGGTTATTTGGCCTTGTAGTTGAGGGTTCCTGAGTTTTTAGAATGGAAGCTTCTGATTTTTAGACAGAAGTTAGAACAAATACTGCTTGTTGTATTAGCTTGCAGATGTGACTTTAGATGTCAGCATTCTCCTGAATGATCATACCATTTACCTTGATGTTTCGGCATTTTGGCAATATTCTGGTCATACAAAACCATTGTACATGTTTCTGCATTTTTTTATACAAATAACTTAAAGAATTTGATTTAAAACAAAGCGAACCTAACCAATGTTACTCGGTTCAACCCGTCTCAAGCGTCGATTGACGGTTATGAACCGGTGAACAGGGCTACACACCGCACCACCACTCAAACGTACATCACAATCCTGCATCCGCGAATGCACGTTTACAAGGGAAAATATATGGTGGAAAAATATACGACCAGACTAAAAGGTTCTACCTTTTCTTTTCTAGAAAAAAAAATCCCGCATATCCTTTTCTGGATGGAACCACGCGCGCAGCAGCCAGTCTCCTCTCAAGGCGCGCTTTCCCAAGCTGCTGACATCATTAAAAAAAGGAAAAAATATTTATTTAAAAATACTTGCCCTCTTCGTTTGGCTGATAAGTCATGGCTAAAAGTACGGTTGACTAATTTGTTATGAGAGAAAAATATTGTTCGTTAACTGAAAAAGTACGGCTTATAAGCCAAGCGAACATGACGATAACTTCTGAACGGTGTATCCATTTTTAATTCCGTCTGCACCGTGGTGTGTTCTACGCGACGAGATGAATAAAACTAGACCCCACTTACATGTGTTTCGAAGAATATTTTTCTAGTAGCAATTTATGTGTACTAACTCATAACGTATAACTTATAATATATGAGTTATGCCAAAAACTTATAAATACAAAAGTTATGAAAACATAACTTATGTGCGGAAAGTTATGAAACACAACATATGTTAATAAGTTATTCTAAAAATTTATATATTTAAGTTATTCTATACAACTTATCAACGCTGCCCAATAAAAGTTAAGATAAAAACTTGTGTTAATAAGTTCTACTCTGCAAAATTTTATATTGTAAAAGTTATGACATATAAGTTGTGGTAATATGTTGTGCATAAAAGTTATGTGTATAGTTTGATAACTTTCCAAAAAAAAGGAAAGTTAAGTGTATAACTTGTTTATATAACTTAATGAATGACTTAGATGTAAAGTTGGACGTATAAGTTATATTCCATAACTTAGTTGTACAAATTAATATTATAACATAATAGCATAAATATGAAACTATGTACGAAAAATAACTATGTAGTATAACTTATAAATATGTAACAAAAAAGAGAAAAAATGGTAGAAAGAAAAAAAGAAAGAAAAAATAAACGTTCATACAGGTGCAACCAATAGCCAATGCCATGGGACAAATGTACGGAATATATCTATATAGTACGGAAAGGGGGGAAATATTTAAGAACGAAGTGGAACCTATAAAGAAAAAGAAACGGCACAGAATAATTAAAGGAAAAGAAATAGAGGGATCCGTGCGGGTGGACGTGTCGTTCGCTGGGGAGAAATCCAGTGAACGACGGGAAAAAATATACGGTGGAAACCACTTATTAGGTGGAATCATGAAAACTAGTTTAAAAAATATACTTTTGTAACTAAAAAGATTTTAAAACTTGACACATATGTGGAAACTCACATGCAAAAGTTAGGATGTAAACTCATTTTTGAAAAATTCATACAAAAAACATAAATTTTACTTGTATGTGCACTGCAAGATAATTCTGGATTTTTGTCTTCCAGTATACATTCGCATGAATCTTGTTATTTTCATATGATTTTTTTAAAAAATGACTTTGCATCTCAATCTTTTGGTGTGAGTTCATGTATGGATGAACTATGTATGTGCCAAGTTTCAGAATTTTTCAAGTTATAAAAGTCTATTTTTAAAAAAACTAGTTTCGATGTTTCCATGCATGCATGTTTAGCACAAGACCATTTTGACTCCTGTGAACCTGTCAAACGTTGAAAGCTGACCTCTGTTCTTCTTGGTAAGTTGGGATGGTGATGGATCCTCCGAATGCTCCTCCGGGCCTCTAATTGCATCTCTCAAATTTAGCGCCCTTAACATCCCGACAGCAGGAGCCTAAAAATGGCCAAATCATGCAATTGCCATATATATTACACTTTATAAGAAACCTCGTTGCGTCGAAGAAATCGCCGTACCACTATGTCTGGTTCGTGGATGGCGCCACCGCCTCTCCTGGTGTCGCTGCTGGTCGCCTTGCTCGCGGTGGCCGCCGATGTCGCCAATGCCGGCGGCGCCAAGCCCCTGACGCCTGGCGGGCGCGTGGTGCACCACAACCACGGCAAGTTCACGGCCAGCCCGTGGAAATCCGCCCACGCGACCTTCTACGGCGGCCGGGACGGGTCCGGCACCACGGCGGGCGCGTGCGGGTACAAGGACACGCGGGCGGAGGGGTACGGCGTGCAGACGGTGGCCGTGAGCTCGGTGCTGTTCGGCGACGGCGCGGCCTGCGGCGGGTGCTACGAGGTGCGGTGCGTGGACAGCCCCGACGGGTGCAAGCCCGGCGCGGCGGCGCTGGTGGTGACGGCGACCAACCTGTGCCCGCCCAACGACCAGCAGTCCGGGGACAGCGGCGGGTGGTGCAACCCGCCGCGGGAGCACTTCGACCTCACCATGCCGGCGTTCCTCCAGATCGCGCAGGAGAAGGCCGGCATCGTGCCCATCTCCTACCGCAGGGTGGCGTGCGCGAGGCAGGGCGGCATCCGGTACACCATCACCGGGAACAAGTACTTCAACATGGTGACGGTCACCAACGTGGGCGGCGCCGGCGACGTGGCGGTGGTGTCGGTGAAGGGGAGCAAGCGCGTCAAGTGGACGGAGCTGAAGCGCAACTGGGGGATAGTGTGGCAGACCGGGGAGGACCTCACCTGCGAGTCGCTGACGTTCCGGGTGATGACCAGCGACCACCGCAAGGCCACCTCGTGGCACGTCCTCCCCGCCGACTGGCAGTTCGGCGTCACGTACCAGGCGTCCAAGAACTTCTAAGTAGCCACTTTCCCTCTTCTTCAACCTGCCCGCAAGCAGCCATGCAAGATGGTAACATCATGCATGCATATTCGATTCTTTCGCTCATGCCCTCCAATACGGTGCCAGAGTTAAAAAATTGTTGAAAATCAATGTGCAAATTCAAATGACAATGGCCATCTTAACCAGTTGTGATCAATCTGAACTGCTAATGCATGCACAAACCTAAGCTACTACCTCCACTGTTTAGGCCGTGTTTTGCACGACTCTTAGCGTTGAGCAGCTCCAAACTCCACCGTGTCCGGACGACTCCACTGCTCTAACATGTATGGGCAAGGATTTTTTTTTTTAATCCTTTTTTAATCAATATTTCAATAATAACCATTCTAAAATAGATATTGCAAGAACCGACTCTTTTGGTCACGCCAGCGCGGGTGGCACGACAGAGCAATGTTGTCGCGCCACTTGTACTAGCGCGACAAGGGCGTCCTGCGTGGCGTGGAGGTTTGACCAGGTCCTACGTGGCCGTCGATGGGTCCCACCCTGTCACGCCATCGACTCTAGCGCGACAGCTATGTCATTTAGGTTTTGGCCGACCTGACCTAGTTTCTTTTCTCTCTCTCTCTCTCTCTCTCCCTCGCCCTTCCACGGCGCACAGGTGCCGCCGCCACCTCGCCACTCCGGCGACCCTCTCTCTCTCCCTTTCTTCCGCAGGTGGCCAGGGGGAGCGGGAAGCTGCAGCCTCGGTGCCTCGCCGTGGCGGCGCCATCGGCCGGCTTCCACAACGCCGGCGAGTGGAGCTCCCTGCTCCGTGGAGTCTTCCATCGGCATATACAAGAACTACATAATGCCAACCCTATTGGCATTGGCAAAATATGTACTGCACCTTGTAGGCATGAACACTACATCCTAGTACGCATCGTCGGGCGAAGACCAAAAGAAAGTTTCACACTCCTGGTCCTCGTCCTCGTCGTCGTCGTCGTCCTTCTCCATGAGCGCTGGGAGATGTCCGTCATTTTGGTAGTGGATCGTCAACTACAAAAACGAAACAATGTCTCATTTGCAACAATGGTAAAACACATGCATAAGTCTAAACAATTCGAAATGAATTACTCACATAAACGACACCTCAAAGGCCTATTGGCTAGTGCCTTAGCGGCCTCCTCCTGAAAAAGGCCTCCTCCCTCGCATCCTCGGCATCCTTAAAGTCGTACGTCTCCTTGTGTTGTCGCCAGAACCTCATCAACTCCATTTCGTCAAAGTACCAAGAAAGACTTCGATCGGTCACCTAAGGAAAGTCCTCGAAAATCCTGTCACGGGTCTTCCATGATGGCGTCAGTACCTTGTACTTCCTCCTCACCTCTACC